CTCTTAATTTCTCTATTTTAATTAATGCCCGCCTGCTGCCTCTCTCTCTCTCCTCCGTGGCTTACAGGAAAAAAACTGTAGGGGAGGCTTTAGTCCCACACCGCCTGAAGCAAAAAAATTTCTCTACATAAAAACAAATAGAACTGCAGCTCATTTGAAATGTAATGTGTAGGAGGCGGGCGGTTCATCTCGTTCTCTATTGCATTGCTAGCTAGCCGAATTAAAATAATCTAATTTATTTTGATAATTATGGTCAGCTCAGCTAGCTCGTTCACGAGCCGCTCGATAAGTGTGAAATGAACCAAACTCGAGCACGAACCGTACCGAGTTCGAACATGGAAGTTTTAAACGAGCTCAAACACGAACAACTATCCAAGAAGCTCGACGAGCTTCGAGCCGAGCTTGAGCTCGATTCGGAGATAAATGAGCTCGAACTTGAACATGCCAAAGCTCGGCTCGGTTCGTTTGCAGCCCTGCCAGAGTATGCAGGAGACCTAGGTCAAAAAGACCATTGTCTGATGATGTAGGTTGGAAGGACCGTAGTAGGCGACGGAGGTCGAAAGGACCATAATCGGTAGGAGACAAGGGTCCAAAAGATCGTAGTTGGCCGGAGATTGGGTTAGAAAGACCATTGTAGTAGGGAGGTATTCTGGTAGAACTCTGGACATCAGCTGATGGCTCAACAGAAGTCCAGGCCTCAGGTGGTGGTCCGGCAGAAGTTCGGGCGTCATGTGGTGGTCCGACAGAACTTTAGGCCTCAAGTGGTGGTTCGGTGGAGATGAGGGCCTCAACTGGTGGCCTGGTGTAGCACAGGGCCTCAAGTGAGGGTTTGACAGAAGTCTAGGCATTAGGTGGTGATCCGGCAGAAGTCCGAGGCTCAGGTGGTGGTCCGAGAGAAGTTCGGGCCTCAGGTGGTGGTCCGAGAGAAGTCCGGGCCTCAGGTGGTGGCCTGCTGGAGCACAAAGCCTCAATTAATAAATCTCTTCAGGATTGAAAATCAGTTACAACGTCGAGCAGAGTTCCGGCGTCACTTGGAGATTGGGTGGAATTTTGGCGTCCTTCAGAGGTCGGGTAGAATTTCGGCATCGTTCGGAAGTTGAGCGGAATTCCGGCGTCGAGTAGAACTATAGCGTCACTTGAGCGTCGGACAAAACTCCGGCGTTGCTCGGAAGTCAGGTAGAATTTTGGCGTCGAGCAGAACTCCGGCATCGTTCGGAAGTCCGACAAAATTCCAGCGTCAGGCATAACTCTGGCGGTGGTCAAGGAGGAGTTCTTCCCTCTTATCCTTCTCTTCTTCTTCTCTTCTTCTTGCTTTGGTCCCCTCTCATGAGAAATGAGGGGTCTATTTATAGATTTTCTGGAGTGGCATTGCTTGTAAATAGGTGAGAGATCAGGGGTAAATAGGGAGTGGTCGGATGGATGGTTGATATTGAATCCCTTGATCGTGCACCGTTCGTCAGACATTTTAAGGTCTTAATGATGTTGGAATT